GGGGGGGGGGGCTGCTAGAGGACGACGAAGTAAAGAACACTCTTTGTCTGGGCTCGGGAAGGAATGGTTGTGTTCTTGTCCCTATGCTAACACAACAGTCTTGAAAGGAAATCGTTTTGTGAATGTGGAACGTCCTCCAAATCAGACATTGCAAAAAACGAGGAATGATTTCGAAGCGCTTGGGGAAAAAAATCACAACATGCCGCTAGATCCTCAGCAGACGGCGGCGGTATGTAAACTGACTCGGAAAGGGTGCCGCTAAGCGCTGCTAGGCGGAAGCTGGTAGTACGAACGCCCCCACCCTCTTGGAACTCATTCCGGTTACTTTTGCGTCGCCTCTTATACTCTTTGTATTGTTGAAACCTTGGTTCTATGGCCCATTATCTTGCTTGGTGTAAATCATATCCCTTTTTGTGTTATGCATATTTTTAGATATTTTTTAGAATGGTGAAAGGACTGCAGTGCTGCATGTCTTGATTAGGTATTATGTTTGTAATGCATACATAACATTGATTTTTGGTTAAATGTTCCCGGTTTTCATGTAAGTTTATTGCTCTGTTTCATATTCAAAGGTGGCAACAAGAAGGTGGGTTCGAATCCTTGCTGGTCATCGTAACGAGAGGTCTTCGATAGGGATGCCCCCTCTCCCCATCCCTCTCTACATGTTCTATATGCGTCTGGATTGCAGGAGCGCCTGATCCAGTCAAAGCTTGGATTTTCAATAACAGATATAAAAGGAGGATCAGAGGTGAGATGGATGCTACCGGGTCTCACCTACGCTAATGACATTGTATCGAATGCGTAAGGGTCGAGGATCTCAAGAGACTTCTATGGATATGCGAGAATGAGGCGGCCACGCTGGACCTTAAAGGGGCGCGAAAACGAAATTTGGCTCTCATTTTTTTGTTTGCATATGAACTATGTTGTGGCGGCAGCACAAAAGCATTAGTGGAGACTATAGTTTTTTGACTGCAGGCAGAAAAGTCAAGACAACTCATTTTAAAACGAATGAACAGAGATCAAGATTGCGCCAGGTTGGCGGTCTGTGAAGCTTCATTGGAATGCCGCCACGTCATCGGCCTCTAGGAAACAGCGCCAGTTCGCGGCATGGCTCTTTCGTGTAGTTTTTTAGTCTTCTATCTGACCTGGCGGAGAATGCTAACGAGTCTACTACGTTACATATGTTAACTTGCACAGTATTTGTGCAACATGCCTTCGCACCATCAGGATGGCCCTTCTTGAACCAGACGATATAATGACGCTTGAACAAGACGATATAATAATCAGTGTGTCTAGTATGCGGTGGAGCAGACGAAATCCCTCGGAACATCATACTGTCGTGCGCCGGATTGCAACCGGCTGCACCAGCGCAAGGGTGCGTCGATGCAGGAGGCACGTGCAAGGCGTAGCCCTTGGGAAGATCACGGCGGCACAGCGCAGCACCACAGCACTGAGCTAGATTTCAGACGCCATGTTCTTCCCAGAAGTGGCGCGGCACGTGTCCCGAACATTTCTACAACAATGAATGGCGCCACTTTTCCCGGGATGGAGGGGCTTTGCAGCAGATTAGACTAACCGCATAGGCTCCGCTTGCAAAGCCAGGGTATCGCGTTTTTTTTTTCTTTCGCCACCAACTCTGTATTGGTGGAGAGAGCGATTTCGTGGACCGAGCTAGTACCGATATTCGTACAGGAAAGCGACCTTGCAGGCGCCGAGTTTCGGGCGGTTCATGTTTCTCGGTTTGCGTTTGCGAAATATACATCCTACACTAAAGTAGAATGAACTGGAAGGCTCCATGACCATTCACCATTATGTTTAGCTGCTGGATGCAGTACAACAGTGTTGTTTTATAATGCGAGTGATGTTTTAAAACATGTTTTCCAAGTCTGAGAAGAAGACGCCACGGAGGATGATCGCGGAGCTCGCGCATCTGGGGCTTTTGCAGAAGCGACGGTAGCTTCCCGTAGTGCGGCATTGGATCCAACATGGCCGCCCGGGAAGTGCCATTTCGGTACTCTGCTAGGCAAGGCAGAGCACAGTTACTTTACAGCAGACTATAGAGTAACCGTATATTGCGCCACCTTGCGGTGCAATCTACGGCTCTGCAGCAGATTAAAGCCCCTCTATCCCGGTAAACGTGGCGCCATTCATTATTGTAGAAATGCTCGAGGCACGTGCCACGCGCCACTTCTGGGAAATTCATGGTGTTTGAAATCTAGTTCAGTGCTGCGCTGTGCCGCCATGATTTTCCCAAGGGCTGCACGTGGCACGTGCCTCGTGCATAGACGAACCTTACGCTATTTTTGAAACATGAAGGGGCTTTACAGCAGATTAAAGTTCTTGAATAGGCTCCCTACCTGAGCCAGTATTGCGTCTTTTTTCTACGTGCCGCCGCGCCGCTATTCGCCGAGATCCGATCACGTGAGGATGCGGATCAAATGCCGTGCAGGAAAGTAGACGTTGCACGCGCCCCGACAGGACGTTCCCCTGCTTTCGAGCGTGCCGCGCGCCTCGAACGCGCGGCGCCGTTCTTCGCCGAATTCAGTCACGTGAGGAGCAGGATCAACATGCCGTGCAGGAAAGACAGCGCTACGGGGATGAGCGCGCACCTCTGGCTCCCGTAGGGAGCCTATACAGGAACTCCACAGCAGATGACCCGGGAGTGCGCTCTGGCGGAGGGGCTGGGCTTTTAGACTGCTCAGGAACAATGCAGTCTCAGCCTCTATCGGCGAAGGCAACAGTAACTAAGGTGCTGAACTATACGCCATGCGCCAACAGAGCGTGGAGACAATTGGGGGTGGGAATCGCCAAGAGGAAATGGAACATTGGTGGACAAATAGTGGTCATCTTAACCCCACAGGCTAAGTCCCAAGCACCATGAAACCGCCCGTTTAAAAGGAAACAGCCGCAAACCATGATCATAATAATCCTCATGGTCTATTGCAGTGGTCTCCAAACCGAGGTCCCGGAGGCGTTCCGGCCAGCCCGAGGATGGCCGCGGTGCTGCGGTCTTTCGAGTGAAGACTGCCCCGCAGCCCGCTGTTACCAAGAAAACAAAAAAGAAGCGTACGTAAGAATGAAAGAAATTTTGTCGCGCCGACGTGCACTAAAAGCACCAAAAATGATACAAAGATAACGAAAAAAGAATAAAAACTGCACCAAAACGCGGGTTCCGCGCTATATAATTTATTGTACACCGTCACCTCTAGCTACTACCGGCCTCCCCGGGCGAGTCCATTTCCCGCAAGCTACATAAGCCCGGCACTACGAGTGGAAGGGGCTCTTGGCTGTGGAGCTACATTCGACGGAGCATCCATGTTGTTTTACTGCTACCCCTTTTCGTGATCCTGTCAGTTAAGGCAGCGCCAAACCTTTTTCCTCGTTTAAATCGCCTCTCTTAGGCGGCCGTTTCCGGTTTGAGCGGCGTCGGCGACGGCGTAACCGCGCGGTGCATTATGGGCCGGTGCTGAAACGTCGCGTGACGTTTCGGCACCCCGCCGAAACGTCGCTTTAGGACGCGCGTTTCGCGCGTGAAAGGAGGAGAAGGGGAGGAGGAGAGGGTACGGATGAGGAGGAGGGGAATACCCTTCCCTCAGTACGCTTCCCTCCTCCTCCTCAAGAGCTGCGCTCTAAATCGGCGTTACAGGAAGTTGTAAACGTCTTTTTTTTTTGTACCGTCTACGGGCAAAGCGTGTGGCGCAAGTCAAATGAACATGTTGCACGGTATCCCTGTGTTCGGTGTGGCCTCCCGCCCACTGAAGCCTAACGGCAGTTAACGGACGGACCCGGCCGTAGCCGCCAGAGCAGCGGACTACGGAGTGGGTTGCCTCACAGCGATCAGCAAGGTAAGTCCAAACCCAGATTTTGTAACCGGCGAGTTACGGAGGGTGTATTCGCCTCACTGAGGACTTTAGGGTAAACTAGAAGCCCAGAAATGTAAACACATTGGATTATATATTGAGATCCCACCGCGTCGCGAAAATTAGAACCCACGAATTATTCCAAAACTTCAGCTTGGACCTAAAGTCGCAAATATTGAGCCCGCGAAAAATAAGTTATATGTTGTGCTTCGTGCTCAGTGTCATAACTATTGCCTATTGTTATCATCAGATCGACCGCTCTCATTACTCTTCCGGCCCGTGTAAATACGCCCAAGTTCGTATGAGCTTTTACGCCTGGTGAGTGTTCTGGGTCACAATTATTGGCGATGTCATAATTAGCAAGGCCTCAAATTAAAAAAAAGCATGCATGCATGTTTTTTACCTTTCTTAGTTTTTAAAATGTCCGCTCTATTTTATATTTTATATTTAAATGCCTATTTGAGTTTATTTATACTTTATATATTCATTTTTAGTGTTGATTTTCTGGCCCTCGAGACTGCGACAGATCCTTAATCCGGACTTCTTAGCCGGAACATTTGGAGACCCCTGTCTATTGTGAGGGCAACGATCAAGGATAGATGGTTCCATTAGAATCACTAAAGGTTCTATCAAGCATCGAGCAAAGTCAGGTCTGCAGACCTCACTTTATACACTAATAAAATGTTTACTGACTGACTCTCCAAGAGCCATCACTTTTAAGAGAAGAAGAAGAAAGCTCTTTTGGATCGACATGCCAATGGCCGATAGAACGCGATTCGAAGAGTCCTGAAAATGATGCATGTGATAGATGCAATGCAATGCACTATGTGACTGAAAAAGAAGGGGCGTGATTAGTCAAGGCTCAGAGCAAGTAAGAAGTCATTCGTATTTTTCAAAAGATTTCTCGCCCTGCACCGAGGTTACTCTCTGTGGAAGATCTGTAGCAGTCATTACAACAAATTTTTGAAAACACCCAGATTCGTCCCACTGCCGCTTGCATAGCAGAGTATCTCTCTGCCGTCAACATCTAGGTCAAATCAGAGTGTGTACTTTCGGAACCACTTCGACTTTTATTATAAACTGGTTTGGTGTTCATTCAAAGTTTCACTAATAGAACCCGACCTCTACGTCAGCCGGCCAATGCAGCTGCCGTGGGTGATGATGTTCCTAAAAACTACCTCGCTATCGCGGAAATTCTCAGGTATTCTGAGACGTGCTGCGGCTTTAAACGAACAAACTAGAAGTCACACTCGAGAGTGCGGTGTGCCAAGAACCACAAAGCAACATCATCCTCTGTTTGGACAAGCTGCGGGCCAAGGGATCCGTCGAAAGAACGTTCTAACTCAAGATGACCTTTAAGGAGGTCAAAAGCTGGCCCTCCCGCCCTGGATGTCGTCTCGTCGACCTTACTTCAGGAGTGACTGCGAGAAGGCCTTCAAGGACATTCTCCGTGGGAAGCTAAAAGAGACCACCTTTTGGGACCAGTTTCTCGACATTGGTTCCGGCGCTGGAGACCTCACCCGGAGCATCGTCAAGGTTTTCGGAGGACACCATAGGGTAGTTGTGGCGACGGAAACATCCATTGAAGTCGTCAAAGTGCTGAGAAGAAACGCCGCAGAACGAGACGTCCTCTACGAGGTCATGGACATTGAGAAAGACGTCGAAGAGGCCCTGAAGACATGGGGCCGCTTCAGGAGGATCTTCTCTTTCTACCATCTCGAGAGGACCAGAAACAAGCGCCTGGCGTTGGCTAACATGCGGGAGCTTCTGATTGATAATGGGGAATTGTTTCTTCTTTTCCAAACGAGTTCTAACCTGCGTCCACTCTTCCAGGCGATCAAGAAAAGTGAGAAGTGGACACACGTGACCATGGTAAGTGGAGCTGATATATTATTTAAGCGAGCTGTTCCCAGCGCGTGCTCAGAACTTACGCGCACCGAGAGGCTGCTAAGACCAGCAATCTTGTTGGTGTGAATCGATGTTTCAACGCAACTGTGGAAGGTCACTGTCGGCTCGAAATCAGTTCTCGTTCAGCGTACGTACTCAGCTACGGCTACCAGCCAATATTGCCGGTCTTGGCAGCCGATTCACGTTTCCAGTGCTGAATAGGCCGATCTCACCAGCTAGTTTGAGTACGCCACCGCTGCCGATATGCATCGTGGGAGCTGTAGTCTTTCTGCACGCGCGACAACCCTGCTGGAGGTTTGCGCGAGCAGACCACGAGGCAGCATGAGCTGTCGCGTGAACAGGCGTCTGCCTCTTACGAATTACAGTTATGGCGGGGTCACGCATGCGTGGAACGCTTGGTGGGATCGGTCTATTGAATATTTCTGAGGACGCTCTACAAATTTGTGATTAGATCTTTTGCTCTATATTGAATATTTCAAAAGTTAATTGGCTTATCTTGATTAAGTAGTTAATTGGGCAAAATACAAAAAAGGTAGCCCGACTTGCTCCACACAATCAACAAACTCATTCGCTTGAATTCGTCTTCCTAAAATGCACCAAAAAATTTTAAACCTTTTCTTGAATTACGTGGAATACCATATATATATATTCTCGGCACTGCGAAGTTGTCGCAGTGCTGAGAAGGAACGCCGTAGAACGGGATGTCTACTCAAAAAGATTACTAAGAAAAAAAAAAAGAAAAAAAGAAAGATGTTTAGAAATCTTTGTAATGCGAAACTAGAGCGCAGCTCTTAACGAGGAGGAGGGGAGGGAAGGCACTCCTCCTCCTTTCCCCTTCCCTCTTCCTCTTCCTTTCCTCCTCCTCTCCTCCTTCCACTGAATTTGTTGATGGGTGACGTGACACAAAGTCAAGTGACGTCATTTTCCCCCGCTAAATTTAGTGGGGAAATTGAATTGATGTTGAGGTTACGTGACGTCGATTTCCCCGCTAAATTTATCGGGTAAATCGACGCCACATGATATGAACACTAATTTAGTTTCGCCACTAAATTTAGCGGGGAAAATTATGTTACATGACTTCTTTTCACGTCACCCGTGACCAAATTCAGTTTCTCCGCTTGATTTAGCGGGAAAGTTTACGTCACGTGACCTCAACACCAATTTCCCGCTAAATAGAGCGGCTCGGTTGCACCGACGGCAACGCCGTGAAACACGGAAACGGGCGCATAAAAGCTCCGCTCTAAAAGCAAGTAATCTACTCTAAACTTACCTAAAAAATGACTGACTACATTAAGTAACATGATCACTTTCATTCGTATGCGTGCAGTGCGACTCTACAATTAGAATTTATGGTTGGGAAAGAGCTAGGCTCGTATGAAACTCCGACGTCCGAACCATTCAAGTCCAAGCAGAGAAACATAGAACAAGACAATGGTGGTCGATATGTTATTTACAGGGTTTCGAAGAAGATACGTTCACAAATGCTACTGGGGAGAAGCCGACCGACATTTTGAGAGACCTTCTGCACTCTTTAGGATTCCACGTGGCACAATGCAAGTTGATGGAGACCGACTGGATTTTGGCCACCAGAGAAAAACTTGAGCGTAAGTTAGTTGGAAGTCGAAGCATGTTTCGAATGTAAAGATTTCTCTGCACTACAAGGCATACGTGTCCATATTTGGTGATGTAATATGGCGGCTCACGTGATGGTTCATGATGTAGTTTGAGATGCGTCCGATGAGTTCAATGAATAGACTCAAAGCCATAGTGACTGCCGAGGTTTAATGTAGCGTCTTCAACGCGGCCAGGATTCGTATCGTAAAATTAGTGCGGAGTGAAATAGCAAGGAATGGCTCCGCACATTCAAAAATGTAGTTTCAGTTCAATTCAATTTTATTGACGCTACAGTCGTCGAGAACATGGCAGGAAAATAACTACACACATTGTAGCATTTCATTTTAGAATCATCACTAGACTGAACAAAGTGGCATTTTTGGGTGTCAGTGCAGTTAAAAAAACAAGTACTCGTTTGTATATATATATATATTTATTTATTTATTTCCCTTTAAATGCAGGCCAGCTTTGAAATACGCAGACTCAACGTTTCGGATGGAGTGTGTCGAAGGAAAAAGTTGCGAACCACAAAATATCTGTAATACTAAAGGTCTTACGTTACCGGGTCTTACTGAAAACTAAAGGGCCCGCTTATATGATTCAAATGTTTGATATCCTTCTCAGTGCCTCTTTGAATAACATGCCAATTTAGAGTTGCCTAGACAATGTCCTTTGATTCGCATATTGGCGCATCTGACGGAGGCTTATTTGGGAGAATTCGCCGTGCAGCCAAGATTACGGGTGAATGTCAAAATATTCCCTGACCGAATCACTGGTGGATGCGGATATCTCCCCCTGGTGTTAAGATAGCCGCAGGAGCAATTTCGAGGTCACGTGTGACAGGGTCCATGAATAGAAAGTACCTAGCGTTCTAGCATGTTCCGCTCAGCAGACATAAGCCCCTTGCCTGTTATTTTCCATAATTCTCCCTTAAAACTACTTTTTCCGGAAATAAGTTTGTATACCAGTCCTCCTATAGTGTTAGAATGCGGCTCATTTCACGTACATTTGAAGACTAACATAACCATAACGATAATATTCCCTGGAGAGGCGGACAAGGGGAACAAAGGACCAACACCGCTAGGTGACTATACTTCGCGACAACTTTTCTTGAGAATGCAGTGGAAGGTATAAGCACGCGTTCCCTCTCCCATTTTGAGCACTGAATAAAGCTGTGCGCTGGCTCTCCTCCTCTCCCCGGGAATGCCGAGGAAAGTTGTCGCGGAGTATAGTGCGTCACTGAAAAATTCCGCCTGGTCCTTGTATCGAACCAGGGACCACTCCGTTTGCAGTGGAGCGAACTACCAACTGAGCTAATCGGGCTTTAGAGGTCAGTAGTGCAAAAGGCTTTATCAGCTGCCATGAGTCTAATACCGAGAAAGGTAAACGGCCTGTATTTAATTTTATAATGAAAATGAAATTAATGCAAAGGGGCAAGCGAGCTGGACGAGATGAACGATAATGATCTCTGGAGAGGGGAAGATGGTGGACAAAGGACAAAGAGAAATCTTTAAATACAACTAGGTGAGTGGTGTACGACAGAAAAAATTCCATTTTGTTCTGAGCCCGAGCCTGACGCAGGAAAAGAGGAAAGTTTCAAAGTAAAAGAAAAATGAACAGTCGGGGGCACGTCTCTAAGACAGCTAAAGACAAGTTTATTTGGTAACCCTCTTATACACACTCCACGAACTTCACCACAGAACAAGGTTCTGTGGTGAAGTCGAGAAGGTCGAGAAGGTTCTGTGGTGAAGTTCGTGGAGTGTATATAAGAGGGTGACCAAATAAACTTGTCTTTAGCTGTGTTAGAGACGTGGCCTCGACTGTTCAATTTTCTTCTACGTTGAAACTTTCCTCTTTTCCTGCCTCAGTCTCGGGCTAAGAACAAAATGGTTAACACCCACCAGCTCGCCTGCGCACTGACTACATTATCATTGAAAAAATCCGCCTGCACCTGGTATCAAGCCAGGAACTTCTCCATTTACAGTGGTGCGCTCTACCAACGGAGCTAACCAGGAGTTAGACGTCAGTAGAGCGAACGCAAATGGAGAGGTCTTTGATTCGATACCTCAACCAGGAGAATTTTTTCAGTCGCGCACCAGTCACCTAGCTGGGTTTGAAGATTTGTGTTCGTCCTTTGTCCCCCCTGTTACCCTCGCCAGCGGTTATTATCGTTACTTTTATCTAGCTCACTTGCCCCTTTGGATTGGTTGCATTATCATCATAACCTTAAAATGGAGGCCTTTCACCCTTGTTAGTGTTAAACTGGTGGCAGCTGTGGAAACTTGTTTGCTATATGACGTCTAACTCCCGGTTAGTTCAGTTGGTGGAGCACTCCACCGGAAATAGGGAGTTACCTGGTTCGATACCAGGGCCAGGCGGATTTTTTTTAGTAGCACAACAGTCACCTAGCTGTGTTTGGAGATTTGTGTTTGTCCTTCCTCCTATTTGTTCGTCTTTCCAGGTAATATTATCGCTATTCTTGTCCAGCTCGCACGCATCATTGCTTTAATTGAATTATCGCACTCTTTCTGCGTGCAACATCGGATTTGAATATTTAATGCTAGGACGAACCTAAGACGGCCATATTCCTGAACGCTTTGTACCTCTAATTTCTTCTCCCCTCGGAGCCGGTAACGCGACCTCGAAATTCCTCTTGCTGCTATTTTAGCCACTGGGAGGGATACCCCCCTTCACCAGCAAACCGGCCCAGGTGGTCGCATTCACTAGCAAACCAGCCGAGATGCTCCTCGTTGGTTTTGCCCGTAAAACCCACAAATATGACTCTGTATATTGGTACAGATATGATCATTGCAACCTCACCATTCCTTCTACGAGTTCCCCAAGAGAAGAGGGAAGAATTCATCCAGGACTGCATCGCACTGGCGGTCAAGTTGCTTCCCAACGACGGCGGCGTCGACTTCAAATTTTCTTAGAACACCATCATGGTCCAGGCTACCCGTAGGCCGGAATCTCACAAACGACTTGAGAAAACAGAGGACGACCCATATCATCAATGATAGCCCCAAGCCAACCAAGCGTTCTGACCTCCAATAATTTGCTCATACGTTCGCTTATAATCATTTTGCCTAGAAAAAAAGCAAGAGATCAAATTCAAACGACCTTTCTTTTGTATGTGAATAAGCTGGGAGATAAAAAAATAAACAACAACGAATTGTATTATAGTATATTTAACCTCGTCGTGACAGTTGAGAGCTTAATTATACAGCCACCCTGACAAGCGTATACAGGACATAAATACAGCCCTTAACACAGCGAATTATAATATTATGGTAAGTTGAACAAGAACCTTAATAAATTGAAATCTTTTACGTGGTCAGGAAAAATGAACAATACTCTATTATTGCTTATTCGCGATAACAGTGTCGCGCAGTATACACACTTCATGTATTTGGATGGTTTCAAGTATCTTAATTGTGGAAAATCCCATCTACACCCGTCTGCAAGCCGACGTGGTCCGCGATCAAGCGGAAATAACCAGAGCGCAAAGAATAGAGACAAGAACAAGAAAAAGAGGCGGATGAGACAAGCCGGTTTCGTAGTGTAGTGGTTATCACGTTCGCTTTACACGCGAAAGGTCCCCGGTTCGGTCCCGGGCGGAACCACGCTGTTTGTTTTTGTTCTCGCTAATGGGAACTGCTTTTAAATTTGCCGGTGGGAGTATGCGCAATAAAGTTTGTGAGATCGGATCCCAAGAGAGACTTGTGAATATAGCATCGAGGCTGGAATTCAAAATCATTTTCAACCAGGCTGCAAATCCCTTTCAAGCCAGCGCTTGTGTCGTTCGCATCTTCCCTCTTGCCCTTAGCTGTATATTGTGCGCACTGTTTATTTACGATTGTATTATGAACCAACTCGCCTATATCGCGACATGAACCCTCGATCAACCAGACCGGACCGGGATCGATCGTCCGTTCACTACGTGCTCAAAACATAAATCAAACACATAAATGCACGGAACAGCCGAACAGCGGAGCTCTTTTCCTGTTTATTCAACGTTGATGAAATGCAAAACCAGCAATGTCTATCGAGAATGCATGGGCTAACTACGGCAGCGGACCAGTTGTCCCGTGCCACACGGTCGACAAAGAGCTAGGCCTGATCCACAGGCCAACACTTGTCGTACCCATCAAGGGGCGTACCAACAGGGGGAAGGGGGGGGGGGCAATGGAGGCGCCTGCCCCCTAGTTCTCAGAGTGCAAGGGGGGGGGGGGAGGCAAGGCATGCGTTGATGTAAGTAAGATGCTTCGCGGCGGCAATCAGGTTGATGTAAGTAAGATGCTTCTCTCCTTGTGTCCTCGTTGTTTTGGCGCCTCACTTCAAGCATGTACAACCAACTAGCCCAACTCGCCGTTCGAATTCAGTTTATTTCTTCTACAACGGGCCCTTTTCTTAGTCCTAACTTTGCTCTCCCTTCGGATCATCTGACTTACATCAACCTGATTGCCGCTGCGACTTGCCAAGCCAGATACTACTCGTATGCTGCACGCCGAGGCCTTACCCCGCCTGAGGTGCTGAGCTTCTTCGGGGGTGTTGCACCGTCGGCGGGACATGGAAAACGGCTATGCAAGATTCTTTGGTCGGAGCGGTGGACACAAGTCAGCAGACACCGGGACTACCTGTGGATGCTCTGTTCACGGTCTGCAACCACTGAACGGGAGGCGAGCAAGAAATTTGGTGAGCACCTCAGACTGGCCTCGCAAGTCACGGATCTCCTTTGGAACCAACTTCGAGCGTCGCTGCCGAAGAGGCCAAGAAAAGAAGTTGCACCGATTAATGTCACGTTTCTCGGAGACGCGTCCGCACCAGCGAACGTCACCAACATCTTGCAAAAAGGACCCAAGTTTAGCTTAGCGCCTAGGCCGAAGCACGTAGAAAAGCTTTGCTTAGTGAGAACTTTGGCGGAGAAGGCGGGGCAACAGGAAAACGAAAGATGCATCTCAGAAGGTGTAGATGTTTTGATGCGCACTGTGGGAGATGGACAGCGAGGTGTGAATACGAAGCACGTTGTAAACTATTTCAAGGACAATAACCTTCGCCTGCTGACTGCTGATAAGGAGGGCGGTTTTGTCGTAGCGGGGGAAGGAACGTTTGGGGACAAGTCATGGAAAAGCATTTTAGGCGAGTACAGCATGTTTCGCTGGTCAAGGTAAAATCACAGACAACGGCTCTATGCAACAAACATAAACTGACCAGCCTAGGTAAAAAAGTGCAGGCGTCAAAGAAACTCTGTTTACAGGTCTTCTTTACGGCAAAAACCCACAAGTTAGGATGCCCTTTTAGGGCTATAGTAACAAAGAGGGATTCGTGGCAGCTCGAGGTGGGTGCTTTCCTTTGCAAACACCTTTCGGAGCTAGAGCTGGGTGACCCTTTCCTGGTTAGGAACTCAGAAGAAATAATAAAGTTTTTGGATGGGGGGAGACCTGCGGGGAACTAAGGGGTTCTCTATTGATGTTGCAGATTTGTTTTACTCGGTCCCGCATGACCACCTGCTGACAGCTGTTAAGCTTTGCATTGAAGGCAACGGGGAGATTTCTTTCCGCAGTTCGACTGGCCTCACGGTAGAAGGCTTCCTGGAGTTATTAACACATTACCTGGGCTCCACTATGGTTTCTTTCGAAGGGGAAATATTTGTTCAAAAACGCGGAATCTGCATTGGCTCGAGAGTGGCTCCGGTCTTGTGCGACATGTTTCTTGCCTTCTGCGACAGGGCGATCGCAGATAAATTGGAGCATAAACAACATGTGAAGATTTTTAGATATGTAGATGATTTTTCGGTGCTGACATCTGAAGCGGTGGGGTTGAGTGATGAGGTGATTTCTGGGATGCTGAAGCTGTTAACGAGCTGTGCCTTCGGCTTGAGCTTCACACATGAAACTGCATGCTCAGGTCGATTACAATTTTTGGACTTGGGGTTGTCATTCGGCGAAGATCATGAGTGCTGGGCGTACGAGCCTCGTTCAAAGAAAGGGATGCTGCCGTACGATTCTGCTCACTCCAAGCTTGTGAAGAGAGGGATAGCTTCCACCTGCTTGGCGGCCTCGCTGAAAAAATTGGGCAAGCATAGAATGAGCGCCAGCTTTCAGGCGCAGCTCAGCAGATTGGAGGCGGCGGGTTTCCCTCCCAATGTGCTTCGCGATGTGTCGGAGACCTTGTTAAAAAAGCACAGCAGGGAGGATTGTGAGGGTAACAGAAGGAGGGCGGCCAGACCTGCGGTCTTACCCTACATACACAGACTATCCCACAACCTGAAGAAGGTAGCCAATAGGTTTGGCATTCCAGTTGTCTTTTCTGCGCCAAATAAACTTTCTGCACTGTGCAATAGAATCAATAGGAGCTCAGGTGAAGCCACTGCGACAGAAAGAGATTGCAAAAAGAGACACGTGACGCAGTACCGCGATTGCGTCACTGAAGTTGTCTATGAGATACCCCTGTCTTGCGGGAGAGTGTATGTTGGCCAGACGGGGAGGTGCATTAATGATAGAATCAGGGAGCACTCTGCGTCAACTAGGCAATCCCCGCCTGGCCACTTGGCAGTACACTGTGATCGATGCGATTGTGACCCAAAGTTTGACGAAACAAGAATTGTTGGAAGCGGCGCAACAAAAATCGCTCGCGAAATCTTGGAGGCCTTCACCATAAGATCTCGTGGCACCGATGTCTGTGTCAGCGCCCCATCTTTATCTCTATCTGATAGGGAGTATACGTTCCTTCAAAATGAATGTGTCACGTAGGAAAACGCGCTAGGCGTCGTTCTATCTTTTTTTCTTACTCATGCGCACGTGTCCATTGGGCATAGCTTGCTTTTCTGTGTTTTTCTAAAATAAAGTTCAGCTGAAAGTGCGCCTCATCCTGTCTGCTTCTCTCCTTGTGTCCTCGTTGTTTTGGCGCCTCACTTCAAGAAAGACCCCACTATACAGGGAGTAAGGAATGCAGAAATAGATACGTTCCAAAGCAAACCCCAAGAAACGAGAGAAGAAACAGATCTTCAAGTGTAGGATACCGGGCACGGTCGGAATCCTTCCCACCAGTTGGACGACAGGACGAACCAAGCATGGACGATAAGGAAGGGACTACCGAAGGCTACGCCGCGGCAGTGAATAGAAACAAAGAATCTAAGACCAACCAAACAGAGATGCACTCTGCGTTGAGAAAGACCGAACCAGTGACCACTCCGTCAGACCCCAGAAAGATGGCAAGAGTCGTGACGCTCGAAAAGCAGCTGAAAGAGACACAGCTGCAATTAGCGAAAGTACAGCGACAACTAGTGGAATCACAGCGACAATTGGCAGAATCGCAGCGACAACTCACACAAGCACTGCAAGTGGTCCAACTCCCAAGCAAGAAAGAAATCAACTGCGGAAGGGATGAATTCCAATGGTAGTGGAAGAGTCCACCTGCAGCCAACAAGTAGAAACAGCAGAACCTGCAGCGGACACCGAAGAAAAAAAAAAAAAAGGCGCCGCAAGATGCGACGTATCGAACCCACGACAGAAGAAAAAATACTCAAGGCCTTATCGGATATGGCAGAAAGGCTGACCGACTTCAAGCACCAAGTGGAGGTACGTTTTCAGCAAATGGATGCGCGCATCCAACCACTGGGAGAACAAGGTGTGAAATCGGATGAACGCCTCACGAGAGTAGAACAGTTTCTGAAGTGTCCACCCACGCCAACAAGTAGACCAGCAATAGCATCACCCAATGGGCAAGGACAGCGCTAAACTGCTCAACATATGGCAATGGAACAGTGGGGGACTGGGAAGCAAAATCAACGCCCTAAAAATGCATCTCTTCACCGCTGAACATCCACCCGAAATCATAGCTATACAAGAATCCAATGAGAACTGTACAATCCCAGGGTACATCAGATTCGGACAGACGACACCCTCGACTAGCAGACCCATTCATATCTTCG